TCATTTTAATTAGTTAATTATTTATTTTTATTGTTATAATTGAATGTGTAATTACAGCATGCAATGTTATTAATATTGGCATGTTCACATGTTCGGTTTCATTGGTCACTTGAGGTGTACGAAAATGAACGTATCGGTTATGTTTTTAAGGTATCGCTATTATCATTGATATTATTGTTATTTAATTTATTGTCATATTTGTTTATAATAAGTATTTTATTTTATTGTAAGTATTCAAAGAGTGTAATTTGAGGATCGATCGCTGTTGGAGCTTGCTTTGACACATCCATCGTATCGCACCAACTACGGCACGAACGCAGATCATGCGCGCAATACGCTTAATAACTGCGCTATAAGACATAACAAAGCACGTAATGTGCATAATAATAACAATGGTAGTAGCAATAATAATAACAATCAACAACAACAAATTAGTAATAAAAAGAGAGGTTCGTTATCAGCTTTATTTTGAGATTAATTTGTTTGTTGATTCGTTTGCCTATTGATTAGTCATTTATCAGTGCTTGAGTGCATGATAGACGATGAAATTGTGATCATTGATGGTGGTGCATAGCATTTGAAGTGGATTAGGGTGGTGGTTGATGAAGTAAATTTGTTTTTGAGTAGAAATGGGGAAGGATTTTGGACGATATGAAAATGTGACTACGAGAAAGAGATAGATGCGATGGGTTTGTGGGAACAACAACCACAATAATCTCTGAAATAATTTTTTAAGTGGAATGAAAATTTGTCTGAGGGCATGCTAGATACGCTAGGTATAGTGTTTGAAGTTTGAATGTTACTGATAGCATTCCATGATGAATTGAGTTGGCAGTGAATAGTGGTATCAGTTATGATAGTGAAGGTAATGAGATTGATAATGAAGTGATAATAATGAAATGAATAAAGGATTCCATACGTTAATGGAAATAATGTCGAAGTTGGGATCGCGTAAAGTGGAGCAATCGCCATTGAATCACAACGAACGATTGGAGTTTTTGGGTGATGCGGTGATTGAGTTCATAACGACGATTCATTTGTTTTATATGTTCACCGAGTTGGACGAAGGCGGCTTAGCGACATATCGATCCACAATGGTGCAGAACAAGAATCTCGCCTGTCTTGCCAAAGTTATTGTTATATTCACTTGTTATTATGTTTATTTAGTATGATTATTTTTTATTAAATGATTATTAATTGTAGTATTAATGATATAATTATTAATGAATAAATTGGATTCAGAAGATCGGACTAGATGAGTTCATGTTGTATGCACACGGTCCAGATCTTTGTCATGAATCCGATCTGAGACATGCGATGGCTAATGCGTTTGAGGCCATGATGGCTGCGATTTATTTGGACGCTGGAATTGATCAGTGCGATAGGTAGTTGATTATTATATTTATCATTATGTTTATTATTGTTACTATTTCATTATTACTGTTAATTTTATTATTGTGATTATTATAGATGTATTGATATTATATAAGCTGTTATAATAGTCATCGAATTATTTTTAGAATATTTGGAAATGCGATGTTCGGCGATAATAAAGATCTTTTGAATGCTTGGTTTGAATTAGAAGAACATCCGTTAAAGGTTTGTTTTGATCAGATCAATTTGTTTATTTATTTGTTTAGTGTTTACTTATCACTAGTACAGTAGCATCAAAAATTCAGCGTGATAATCCATACGGCGATCGACATTTGATAAAAGAAGTTCCCTCGTTGCAATTGTTAACCGAATTCGAGAAGAGTATCGGCATCACCTTCAAACACATTCGTGTGCTGGCGAAGGCGTTCACTCGTCGAAATATTGGATTCAATAATTTGACTTTGTTGGTTATTTCTTTACTTTTATTATTACTGCTGTTGTTGGTTTCGTTCTGAATTTTGACTATAAAATCGTTTCAAAATTGATTCATTTGTATATGTGTGTTTGTGTATATTAATTGTATATATTGGTTATTATGTACATAATGAATGATTGTGTATATTAAAGAGGTCACAATCAACGACTCGAGTTCTTGGGTGACACTGTATTGCAATTGATCACAACTGATTATCTTTATAAGCACTTTCCGATGCATCACGAAGGGCATTTGTCCATATTGCGCACGTGTTTGGTCAGTAATAAGGTTAGTATTTGTGGGCATTTAATGGTGATGTTTCGGTTCGTTGTTGTTTTTATTTGTTTCGTTCTTATTGTTATCATTTATTAATGTTTTATGTTTTATGAAAAAATTGGTTGATAAAATGAAATTAAGACTCAATCGGTGATATGTGACGATATTGGAATGACAAAGTATTTAGTGATGCCAAAAGCGATCAAGAAGAATGGAATTCCGATTTTGAGAATTAAGGATAAGGCGGATCTTGTCGAATGTGAGTTTGTTTTGTATTGTTCTTATTTAGTCATTTATTATTATGTATCATATTAATGATAGAATAAAATTGCAGCGTTTCTGGGCGCATTATATGTAGATCGTGGTCTTGGATATTGTAAAATATTTTGTCGTGTTTGCTTCTTTCCACGTTTAAAGGTATTACTTTATTCATTCGTTTATTAACTTATTTATCCATATCGAATTCTGTATGAATAATATTTCTATTATTCATTCAATCAAAATAGTGATAATAATATCAGTCATGAAAGTAGTAATGTTTAAAATAATTTAGTATTTTATCGTTTCACAACGTTGGAACGATCCTAAATCGCAACTGCAACAGTGTTGTCTAACGTTGCGACAGATGGATGGCGACGAACCAGACATACCAGAATATAGGACGATTGCTGTTGAAGGCCCTACCAATACACGCCTCTACAAAGTGGCCGTTTACTTCAGGTCATTTTCAGGATTTATTGTTGTTTTTTTTAAAATATTATCAGATACTTTTTTAGTCTGCATTTATCGTTATTATCAATCGTTTGTGATGTTTATATAATATTATGTTTGATGTTGTTGTTTTTTTTTTGCATTTTTATTATGGTATTATTTTGATTATTAAGTAGTTTTTAATACTGAATGATAATGGTAATAATGAGAGTGAGAATAACAATAAGAATGAATATTAGGCGGAAACGACTGGCGGTTGGAAGTGGTCATACAATGCAGAT